CACATAGGCCTACGTGTAGTAACTGTTTGTTGATGTAAAATGTAGATATAACATCCTGATATTTAATCTGTCTGCATGGCCTTGCACGTACATATTTTTTTAATTCTATTAGTATTACCATGTTTCAAAAATTCACTTTCCAGTTGTGTGTGCCATTTAGGTTCATTGTATTTTAACATGTTGTAACAGAAATTAATGCCCCAGCCAGAATTAAATGGGCATACATGTACCTCGATTGGAGGAAACTTGAAAATTGATAAGCTCCATACATTTGCACTAATAGAGGGATTTCACGTTAGCGCCGTCTGCGCATATCTGCCTTGAAACCGAGGCTCTCTGTGTTGAACTTTGTCGTGCCCGCCCGTGGAGTCCACACACATGGAGTATCCGGTTCGTAAGTGTGACGCCACTCCAGGTTAAACCACACCCACTGCACAAGATTCTTGACCATCGCAGGTAGGTTAGTTCGCAGTCAATTGTCGTTATTTTTTCTTTTGATTTTACGTGTCGAGTCATCCTGAAAGACTCTTCCTCAAAAGTTTGCAACCTGAAAAGTCTGAATTTAACATACCTTTATGTATTTTGTGTCTTAACTCCTTCCTTTCAATCGTCTGATCGTATTAAGAATTGAAGCTGACACATACATGTACAGCCTCGTTTTCAAACGCGGAAGTGCGCAGATCTACGCTAAAAGCGTCGTATTGGGATCCCTCTATTGCTGTAGCCGGGGAAGTGTGGAACTAATTATTGCACAAACCAGTACACTACATGAGCAGGGATGTGACTTGAAGTACTTTCATCTTCGTAAGATTGCAAAGTAATATGTTGTTATTATTGCCTGTACACTGTACATTATCATCACTCCTATACTGGAACCTCATTGCTTGGACATCATACATGAAATGAAGCTGTATAGCTGTATCCATGCTATGGGATGTTTACATGTAGCTGGAATGAATTAAGCTTTGAAATACAAATGGTGCGGGACTGGTGTCATTACTACATGTGTATCAGGATACATTTTGTGTAGTTTATTTTGAAGTAATTTTGATGCCACATTGGTGTAGGAAAAATCATTGAAAACTCAAAAAACTCGGTGCACACTGCAAAATGACAGACATTTTGGTGCTGTTTTGGTGCCTTATTAGTGTCCTTTGCAATGGGTATAGTTTTTATTGGTGTATTTCTGGTGCAGACCAAAAGGACACCAGGCCTGTACTAATAACATTGGTGTACACCAGATTTGGCTAAAGGCAGCCTGTCTTTTCTTTGCTCATCGAGAGTGCACTTCAACTTGTGGCGGATTGAATATTAACTGGTTGGCAAAGACTGTCCCAAATAACCATGCCATTTACAGGGTACTAATTAAAATGTTGTGCACAGCTAGCAGTACCTGTCTTTTTGAGAGATGAGAGTACTTTTTTGGGGCCTTTACAAGCACGGAGATGGAAGGGAAATTTACCCCAAAATGTGCCTTGCTCATGCATAAAAAAGTGCCCCCTTCTGAAGAAGCGCATAGCCCTGTTGCCCCCCCCCATCATTAATAAAATGGACAGCTTCATCACCATGTAATCACTTCCTTCTTTTTCGATTTTAATAATTTGGAGAGCAATTTAGGTATTGTTATGGAACCACTCATTTGGATGTTGGCATGTTTATCCTTAGAGGACATGTTCCAGCATGTCCAGTTGATGAGTATTGTAAATATCAACCATCTCTAAGGGTCTTTCTCACACCGACAAATGACACTGTGAAGACTTCTATTCACGTTTTGTGGCTCGTGGCCGTTTATTGTCACAACATCACTCCTGTCTGGCATAAACTCCAAAACGCACTCATAAGAAAACACTGTGCCTGTATCATGGCAATGGGTCTCCCGGGCTGACCCAGGAGCTCACCACACGGCTGTACAGTGGATCTGTGCTACAGGGGTGAGATATATATTTCTCAGTTTTTTGTTCTGGATTTTATTTTTTTTCTTTCTCTGGCTGTGTACAAAAGTACATGTATAGGAGATTTTTACAGTTCAGCTTCTCTGTGCCTTTTTGCGGGTAAATCTCACCTTTGGTGCAAGTGCCCTCTCTGGTCATCCGACACCAACACTACAGTCTATTTGATTGAAATGCCAGTATTAATTAGTTGGGCTAACGTTTATCTGGTGTGTACTTGGTCTGGATCAGTTTTCTTGATCAGCTTTGTCGGCTTTGTGGAAGTTATTACTGTACTGCAAAGTTCACTTTTGCCTTGGAGCTTGTGCTTTCCTCAGCTTTCAGACATTGCAAAAAAGGCAACCAGTCTCTCTTGGTTGATCCTTTAAGGTGTCCTTGTTGTGTTTCCTTCTGTTTTGGGAGCCATCTGCTTGTAAAAATAATTCCCTTGCAACTCATTTATCAAGATGAAGAGGAAGGTACATGTACATGTAATACTTGATGCCAAGACAAGCAGGATCTCCAAAGAGAATTAAAATCAGACAGTGTTATTACACTGTATATATACAGATATACTGTAATACTGTATATATTACACTTTATATATACAGAAAACTTTTCCATGAAAAGTTACCTCAACTGGATAAGTTTCTGAAAAAGTGTGTTATTGGTGTATGTTTCTCAATTTACGGCAAGTGTTTTTGACATAAAATGTGGAATAATTAGTTTTTTCGTTTTCAATAAATTTCCAAAAAGTCATGGTCACTTACCGGTACGTTACTGTAAGTTACACGAAGGTACATGTACATTACACTTTTTTTTTAGTAAACCCAGTAAATAGTTTAAACAGCAAAAAACTTTTTTTTAACAAACAAGTGGGACCAATAACTACACTGAAGTACTAAGCATTAATAAGGCTCCTTTCTACCTGGAAGTAAAGAGGGAGTACTATGGAATAAGAGGCAGCTGTTTGTACCAAGTCTTATGCATGCATACATGTAATCTTATGAATGTGACTACAAAACAAACTACATGTAAATAATACATGTATCATGTACATCATCATTTGATTGAAACGCCCTTATCATCATTGTTTGTTGAGCCTCAGACAATTCAACTCCAGGCTATATGTACATGTAAATATACCACTACGGGTGCACGTTCTTACATTTCAACGGAAAACTTGAAGTGTCATCTCACAAGCTAATGTGACTACACAACAAACTACATGTAAATAATACATGTATCATGTGTGGGAGGGGCGCTATCTGGTGGGGGGTGCGCATGAACAGACACACCAGAACACCCTGGGCTCGGATCTCTACTGGTGTTATTGCTCTATTTAATTTCAGTAGCAGACAGGCCAACAACGGAGGCGACGGCAAACATGAGGAATTAAAGAAAAAGAAACACAACTTAAGTTAAGTGTTCCTTCTAGGTGAATGGCAGAAATTAAACATGTATAATCTGAATGTATTGAAATGGCACAGTTTGACCCTAAAGTGATGAAATTGGAAATGTCTGGAAAACAGTTTATCTATTCATCCTTCCAAATTGATTAATTGCCAAGAAAATTAAATTCACACTGTGGACTTCCTCCTGATGGAAATAACAAAGAGTTCACCCTAGTGTCATTATCCAATCCTAAAATTACATGTACATTGGAATAAAGACGATAAATCAATATCCCTCAAGTACTGGGAAGATTACTCTCTAATTACTGTGTAACTTAGAGATAGAATCTAATATAATTGAAGTCCAATCATTCCAAACAATTTCAAAATTAAAGCAATAATCATCTCCAATAAGCAAGGGATTTACATGTCACTTAATCCTCAAGTACATGTGCCCGTCTCATTAATTTACATGTCACAATTTGCCCAACATGTGCCTGTACATGTACATGCAAGTAATGTACACTTATGCGAAACCAGTAACCACCTTCAATCAAATGATCTAAACTACATAACCCATATAATTACTCCACCATAGATCCTACTCAAAGTTTTGGTCTCGGCACCATTAACGTCGATACCGATATATGTATATATACATGTATATGCAAACCAGACTTGTCTGAGCACACTGCTATAAGGCCGCCATTATTTTACCGCTCAAAAGTAACAAAACCATTTGCCCAATTTACCCATTAAATAATGTATTTATACCCTTCCCACGATATCTAACAATTTCTCTACTCCTCTGGAAACCCATTGGATGATTTACAAGAAATTTACAAGCCCAAGAAGAGTGAAATTTACCTATTTAATTTCAGTAGCAGACAGGCCAACAACGGAGGCGACGGCAAACATGAGGAATGCCCCTGCCAATGCATGATGGTGCTGTCACTACACACCAGCATACTCACAATTATATGTACAACATGCACGACATCCCTCACACATGTACATCATCATTTGATTGAAACGCCCTTATCATTGTTTGTTGAGCCTCAGACAATTCAACTCCAGGCTATATGTACATGTAAATATACCACTACGGGTGCACTTTCTTACATTTCAACGGAAAACTTGAAGTGTCATCTCACAAGCTCTCTACATATAGTACAGTCCTTTACAGCAGGACATTTCCGATACTTTCCAGCACGTTCCATAACTGACATTTCTCCGTCTCCTACAGCAACAACCTCCCCTGGAAATCTTTCTCCTCATACATATAACCCACAGTGTACCAGTCCCCCCCCCTTATTGACTCATATCTCATCCCAAGGGCAGCCTCTTTCTCAAGCTGTTTCTTTTCCTGTTTTCGCAACAAACCCTCTTGATACTTCTTGTTTTCACAGCATTTTATGACTGCAGCAGCTTCTCCTTTTTATATTTGTCGACTGACCATCATGCCTTCAACTTTTCTATGAAGTACCTTTGCTTCTCTTTACTGGTCAAACGTATGATAAGACCAAAGGACACATTCCAAAGAAAACTGAACAACATGTTAATCAGATTTTAATGTTTTGAACTTATGAAGTTTACGTTTTGCTGAATATTAAATTTAGATGCTTGCTCTTGAATGACAATAGAACGACCAACATTAGTGCATTAATGTTGTAAAGGCTAAGTGTAACAGCTGGACACACAAAAAACTTGCAGTAATTTTTATTCATGGCTGGCGAACACATTAGTAGATTAATTTACAAGCTTAACTGCGATCAAACTTTACCTTCAGGGTTAAAAGTTATTAAAGGAAACATCTATCAGGGATGTATGATAATTTCATCATGATGGTATCGTACATGTTGAATCCCAGTCAAATATGCCACTTCTGTGAAGCTTTTTCGCTTTTGCACATAGTGGGTGGAAGCCCTTAATTGTTTTCTGCAATTTGTTTTTTCTTCCTGTTCCATCCAAAATCCTGAAAACTTTATACATGTTTCATTCAGCGGCATCACTTTTAACTTAACAACAAATTCAAATTTCTGTTCCCCATTGAGGACCGACGTATGTAGTAAACAGGGTTTACTTAGTAGTGAAAACATTCAGATTATTGACACGTGGCTGCAATCCATTTAATTTGATATGATTTGAAAATTACAGAAAGACAATTCACAGATACATGTAAACATTATTTGAAAGATTAATTGTTTAAGCTTACATGTATGTATGTTACTTGGACAGACATTTGTATCCTTTAATTAGAGAATGAGGAGCACAATTGGTCATAAGCCAAACTTGTTCACATGTTTTCATTTTTCAAAATCATACTTGCAAAAATTGCTGACAGGGGAAGAAGTAAGGGGAGAGGAAGTAGTGCACCCCACTTTTTCAATGGGGGGGTGACTGCCAACCCCCCCTGGCAGATCCTGTAATGGGATAGGACTAAATGGATCAGTCTGCCAATGGCTGATGCCTGATAGTCTAAAAAGTGGTCTTGCCACTTTTAAAATTGTTCTGCCGTGCTTCCCTGCTGGTTTATTCATTAAGTAATATTTGTTCTATGGACAGACATCATGTTTGTCACATCCCATGAGCTTAGGACAGTTTTCTCACTCTCAGTTCAATGAAGTGCAGTGACCTTTTTAATGAATTAGTCGTATTTTAATTGAAATCACTTTTTGAAGACATGTATTTGCACCCTAGTTTTAGAAGATTCCCCCATGATCCCCATCAATCAACACGCAATGTGACTGTGTATTAAGATTTGATAACACCTGATGTGATTTGTGCAAGTTGCTTTAAAATGTGCTGGCACCTAGATACGAGATAGCTTAATCCATTCCTATTGGTCAAGAGTCTGTGTGTGCCGCTCATGCAGAACTCACTATGTGCGCTCTTAAGTTCATACAGGGAGATTCTTCTGGACTACTTGCACAAGGAATATAGTATTCGGGAAAATGAACAGAAAATTCCTGAACAAAATCCTTGAAATTTATCGTGTATTGACTTCTTTTGACTCCCTGACTAAAATTGTATTTATGAATGCAGGGAATAAGTATGTGCTTTAAGACCCGCTCAGGAGAATGAACGTTTACAATTCCCTCACTTGCAACTTAGTCGTGTCCATTCTCCTGAGCCTGTCTTAACTGCACGTTTAAGACTGGCCAACACATACAATTTTTTCTCCAAATGAAAATGACAAGTGTTACCCAATATTGAACAGGTTAGCTAATAATGTTTTTCCTGATAGAAACAAAACATAAATGAAAAGCCACAAATAATCAAGCGTTCAGATTAGAAATTTTCTCTGCAACATTAATTTTTTCTTGTTGAAGTTTACTTTGACAGGATGGCATAATTTAATAAGCATGTTTCCTCATGTTTGTCATTCTCGATGCATTCAGACACCATGTTTGTGTTGCTGATTTAGCTCTCCTGAAATTCCTCTGTAAAAATGTTGACAGTAAAAAGCTAGTGGCTTGGGCATATTTTTTGGTAATATTTTTTGTGCTTGTATTTTGATCGATGCTGATGTCATTGAAGCATTGGTTCATGTATGTACAGTTACCGGTATATCCGTGACAATCCAAAACAAGCTAGATATTTTTGTTAATTTCTGAATTTTAACAACTAATAGTTTCAACAACTAACTACTCTGCAATTGTATGGATACTGGTACATGTAAAATTGTGAACAAAGTTTAAGGGAGAGCTGTTTTGGTGTTGTGCAATATTATTGTAAGGTTGAGTGTGCACACGCAGACCCGTACATTGCCTTCCTGTCAACAAAAATACGAAGCTTGATGAGGATATCATCACACTTCATGTGGCATGCCCACAAAATCGAATTCCTTTTGGGTCCATACATGTGCATCCCCAGAACAATGTGTCTGATGGTGACCATTGGCACAAACTCAAATCAAGACATATTTTATGTGAAAATTGGTATGATGTCATCATGAGGTCACCAGATATAGCAATTTTTATAAGTAGGCCACTGATTAAACTGCATAGGTGAAACCATCGAGTTTTTTACAAAAACCCTTTGACTTTGTGCAAAGTTTTCTTGGGCAACTTTTAATCACTTCAATCTAGTGTACATGTACATATGGTGTGTATAATGTATTAATTAAGAGTTACAAGTGCCATCGTTGTGAAACTTGTTTCACGTACAGAGCAATTTGTCAAAATTTGAGTCACATTATGATGAAGTGAAGTTTTGTACATGAGACATCATCTTAAACCTTGAATGAATTCTGCATATACTGACTAAAATACATTAACACAAACAAACTCGCAAAGTGCAAAAGCCAGGTGCTCTTGTTCTCAACAGACGTAGTCCTCTATTTTAATGTCACATTTCTATCTTGCGTAGTGTTGCATCACTATGTGACCTGGTGTTATGCATGGGAACACAAATTCTCTCAGTTTCTGTAATATTTTTGATCTCTGAGGAGATAACCAGTTTTTTCTTATTATATATTTTTACATGTAAAACTTCAACTTTATCTTTGCAATTAACTTTGCGTTTCCAATTCAATTACCCAATGTCAAATATACTTCAGGTAAAGGTTACTCATAGAAGTTCATAGTCTGTAACATCATACATGTATAATACACTGGACAGCAAAAGAAACTTGCCACTTCTGTCAAAGGCCACACATAAAAATTCACTCCATAGAAATAAACAATTTTTGTACACAGGTATATGCTGCATTACCCCTTACTAATCTTATGCCCAAAAGCAATGGATTATCTTGGTTACTGAATCAAAAGTCACACACAAAAGCACTCTCCACCAAGCAAAAAGGACCCATGAATGGACAAGATTTTAAACAACCAATGACAAAGTGAACACCTGTTTTGTCAAAATGATGTGCATGAGTGGTTTATGTATAGAGATGCCGGCCTTACTGACTATGCATACACATTATTGAAAAGTAATGATTGTGACTTCTTTTTTTCGTCCTGTGACATTGATTTCTGCAGCTCATTCCGTTACATTCTGTGATTTTTGAGATTATTATCAGAAACTTGATAAAATCCCCAGTCCTGAGCCTGTACTCTAGAAAATATAAGGCAATACATGTACTTGGCAGATCATAATTGACACACAACCAAGAGCAAGGCCTCTCTTGGTCCTGAGTCCATAAAAAACTGGAAAAAAAATGACTTGCCACCCAGGACACAATTGCTTGTCAACTCAGGATTGGCCTTATAGTTGCCCCATGGATTAAAGATCTCAATAGAATAATGTACAAGGGTAGTTGGGATTATTAATGTAAACGCTGGTGTAATTCAGGAAAAGTGAGGGTTTTCTGTGCACAGAAATGTACGTGCTGTGTTCCCTCCAGTGATTGGATGAATCAGTGTACATGTGCTGTGCTGGTCGGCGAAATATCCAATACTCCGCTTTTCCCCTGGACCCAAAGATTGTGTTTTTTGAGACTAGCACCAGATAGAAAAGGGTATTAAGGGAGGCATTAAAAATCTTTAAAAGGCTTAAATTCGACTTGCTGAACCTACACCCCAAGAAAAGTTATGTTTACTAGGGCAAAAGGGTCATGACCAGTTGACAGATAAGAATAAAGAGCCATAACTGCGTTGACCCCAAGGGCATGTACAGATGAAATGCACATTGAAATGCCTCCTCTGTCAATGGGAGTACGCTGCTAACCAAAATCACGCATGCATCAAGTTTAGGAATGCACGCCTGATGGGGACACTGTAAGTAATGGCATCAGTGAATTAGTCTATCTACATCGTAAGAAAAACAATATAAACAAATACTGAGTTAAAGTACATGTGGGATATTGGAATTTAATTGTTCAATAGGTTCTGCAAAATACTTAAGACGCGTAATGTCTATGACTAAATATAAAATATAGTGTTCGTGAGGCTTAAGAAAAACAAGACAATTGCCATTCTAATGAATGTCATTGTTGTTGAAATTTACTACCTCACAGTATTAAAGTCAGTTGGAATAATAGTAAAGTAGTTATTTATGATTTTATTAACCCTAACCCCCTAGGTGCATGTAAAATCATATGAAAATCAGAGTACTTGGAACTGTTAGGTACAACATTGCAGTTTACTATAATCTCATCTAACATCTGTTGGCACTCAGTGAGGTTGTACCTGTACTGTATTCGTTGATGAGGCTCTAATACTGTGCAGCTGATGGTCAGTTCCTGATTAGCATTTTCCTGAGCACTGACCATGACTCAAAAATATTGCGTGTGAGTTGCAAAAAATGTTCAGTGTGTGTCTGAAATGTCTTAATTCTTTGGAAATTGCTTTTACCAGGTCAACATATAAATGTTGTATAGTTGGGTGTGTAATGTGGATGAACAAAACGTACTGCAGCCAAATATGCTCAGCACTCAACCTATCACTAACAAGGCCTACGTGTACCTCCCGTTGATGAATTGCCACACAGTAACCTCACGCATCAAGGAACCTGATTTTAATTCCTAGAATCAGGGATATTACAACGAATGAGTTATTTTTCAATCCACAGGTCTCAAGTTTTTTTGCAGAATTTGAAAGTTCCATCTGCCGTTCCGTTATTTTTTTTAATCACCTCAAAGTTTTCAATCTTTAGCTGTTGATAACTTACATGTATAGTTTACCAAGTTCCACAACTGAAACCACAATATTAGGTTCCTTCCCAAATTGTGCTACTGGAACTTCTGTTCTTGTTTTTCTCACTGTTGTGCAGTGTCTGAAATCTGCTTTACAATCCTTTTCAGAGCCTTTAAACATTTACATGTATCCTTGTGATCAGGGGTTATAACCATCTTGTGAATACAGTGCTACCACATCTTGCTCATTTTGAAGCATTCTGTGACCTTGAATTTATAAATCATCAGTATAGCAATCTGAGATTATGGCCCAGTTTTCTGAGTGTTGCACACTGTCAGTACGGAGCTCATCCATTTTGCAAGCAGATCTACAAGTACTTAAAACTTGAAACATTGCTTATAACACTTGTACACTTGCATCTGTTTGTTGAAACAGAACTTCAAGAATTTCTCAATATGATGAAAGTGGTAAATGAAAAGCAATTGCTTGTCAATCATAATGATACCAAGTTCTATTTAGAATTAAAACCATTCCTTTTGTTTATTTTGATGGAATTTTGCCAATCAACCTTAGGAGTGTCCTGTTTAATTTAAGGAGTGTCCAATTTATAATTGGATATTCCTGTGGTTGCTGTGTACATGTATATCTGTTCAAATCCTATTTATATCCAATATTCAATTAACCATGGGAATATCCTTTTACATCTGTGGCAGATGACTTTAATGTTATGTTTAATTTAATTGACATCTTTTCTGACATTTAGAACCACACATATTTTTATGTAAACTCTCAGTTGGTTGTGTAATATACTTTGTTTTTTTAGTTCACTTTCTCTAATGGTGGGTCTATTTGGGCATCTCTAAGGGTATTGTCTGATGGGCAGACAACTGTTTATGCCACCGCCCTTTGATGCCCATAGCCCCAACATCCCATTTCAAACATTTACTACCATGGAATAGCATTATGTAAATAATTCTGTTGGAATAATTCTCTTTGATGAAACTGGATTAAAATTACCTGATATATTACTAAAAGTGAGCATTCTTAACTACCACTGCTGGCACATTTGTTGAAGAAACACCATAGGAAGCCTGAAACTGTAAATGAACTCGAATGACTTGAAATTCACAATTGCAAAAATGTGAAAACCCGATTTTCCCAGTACAGTCCTCGAGAGGAAGGTTTGACTCTTGGGCATGTATTTCCAAGCTGCTGGTTTATTTTGTCTCTACTTTAAACCTTTTCTAGAATTTGGGCAATTTAACAGAAAAAAAAACCAGGTGGGCTTGTCAAAATACTTGCCAAGCTTGACATCCACATGCCCAAATGCTTGGCATGCTTGCCAACCATTCATCTTGTACTGAGTATGTTCAGACTGATCAAAGTTAAACACTAGCCCCACCAGGATGAGTGAATGCCAACCCATACATGTATGCTTGTAATTGGTTGGGTGTCATATGCCTAAATACTAAGGAATAGATTTGAAGAGCATGTTGTCCTTCCACTGTTCGCAAATACGGTTTGAATAAGCCCTGCCAGGACAAACGAGTACTATGGGTATCATTTCTATAATTGTAAATACAAAAGATCAAATGTTAACATCCAAATTCAAAGTTTTACTTAAAACCTATTTTCATATTTAAGTTGTTTAATTTCAGCTTGAATTCAGGCACTGCCTGTTGCTACCAACTGATCCCTGCTATCTGTTTATTTCCTGCGAGTGTTAAGGGAAGGCAGTAGGTTTCATGTATTCTACTTGGCTTTGAATGGTTATGCCAAAGTGAGCTTTTCACGCCAGCCACATCAGTACACTACATTGATTTATAACAAATTCACGATTTTTTATTTAATTTCTGCATGCAGTTACTGTACATATAATAATGCTATAATTATGGACTTCTTTGGACTCCTGCCAGCAAGGATGGATGCGGGTGGCCATGTGTCTGCACTTTAAGCAACTTACATGTACATGTATTTGTTATACCATGGCAACAAACACCCATAGAGAGATTGGCAACAAACCATGTGTCTGCCTAAAGTAATGTTTGTTTTCTAGGAATGATAAATAAATTGCTTTTCCATACTGCAGCATGTAACTTTGACAAGTCCCTATAGTCAGTGTTGAATTAAATTGCTTTTTTGAGTTGAAAAAGAGTTTTTGGCTTGCTTAAGTTACCTGGTACATAAATTAAAACTTAAGGCTATGTTGCCACATGTTTTTGGTGATCTCCAACCCAATTTTTGCAATAGAGGTTGTGGATTGCCAACATCTCCATGGTGTCAGAGACTGTTTTTTAAATTCATCTACAACAAAAGCACAAAAGGTTTACTCTAGCCTATTCCATTTTAATGAATCTCTTGCCCTCGGAGGATTATGTTGACGCATAACCTCTTTAGTCTGTCTGCTGTCCACATCTTGTGACTGTTAGTGTGTCTGGCATGTTTGGATCTTTAATTGTTCTCCAGCTTGTACCTCCCTTTTATTGATTGCTGAAGTTAATGAACTTAAGAGGGCTCAGTTCATACAGAGACTATCCTATGAAAGAATCAGTGGTGATAAGTTCTATATCACCAGAAGAATGTACCATTGTTTGAAATTTGCCACAGTAGTCGGTGATAATGTGAGAAGGAAAATGGACTAGGCCTACATGAAATTAAAATGCCCTATCTCAGATGAGCAAAAAGCTGTTTGATGGTTTGCCCCATCAACGGCATCAGGCATGGGGTTAGGTTCACACTGCATATGACCTGCACATCACAAGAACAATAAATTATTATGTTGTGATGGGGAAGGGGATAGTTGCTGATCTCTCCAGGCTTCTCCTTAGCAACGGGCCTGATGATCTCTGTACATCTAAACCTTTCAAAACTACTGAGTCTGGTGTGTCACTACTCTGTAAAAATTTCTGTACAATTATAAGTCATTGCAAACCAATAAATGAGGTTAGTAAGCCTTTTGCGAGTTAAACTTCAACAGAACATAACAATTTGATTCTTCATGAATCTTGCAGGCTTTTGCCTAGTAAAGAGAAACATCGCACTAATAGGCTGTTTGCAAAGGATGAGAAAGGGTACAAAGGACTAGTCCATTCCAGGGAAGGTGGTCTCTAGGCAAAAGGTTGCACCAAAATCATGGGGTACTACAGTGTCTTTAGGTATGGGGAATTTAAATTTTGTTCATGTGCAGTTGGATAACGCAGTGTACCAAATTTTATTCAAATTTAACTTGCAAAAGGCTTACTACATGTACATGTTTTCTCCTTGTAAATTAAAGGCCCTTTTTGAAATGCAGTCAAGTCACAAATAATATGCACTGCACAATTATCAGGGCACATGTAGAACAAAAGAATCAAACTGTAAAACCATTCACTTCTTTGAAAACAACACTTTCTATAATACAGGCACAACTTACTAACATGGGTGTATGTGTGCATGTGAATGGACATGATCAAGCAGAACGCCAATTTGGTCTTACAGGATCAGATTGAGGTTTCCATACACTGTACACAGCAAACTGAATATTAAAGACCACTTGGCTGATGATGCAGCTTGTCTGCCTCTTGGAAAATTGAGTAGCCGAGCTTTTAAGTTTGTTTAAATTTCTTGTTTTTCCTTACTCAAGATCCCGTCGTGGGTTTGGCATTGATGCATTTATCAGTTGTCAACCTGTCTTTGCTACAGTCAAAATGAAATCAAGGTAGGACCTACAAGTACATATATTTGTCATACCCAGTGTGACCGTATCTGAGCACAAAGAAGACATTGTCAAAGGATTTATCAAAGGATTTCCTTGTGCCTTGGGTTGTCAAAAAACATGTTTCACATACAAAAGTCCCATTTCCCATATAGAGAGAAACCATACACATGTCAATGATGGTGTACTTTTCGCTGTTCGTTGGACTCTTTTCAGTGTTCGGAGCCCCTTCCAAACCAATGTTTAAATTTTCAACAGTGCAGTTACAAGCCCATAGTCAATTATTCCAATGGTACATTGTAGTCGTACTTTCTTGCAGGTGCTTCTTGGGCCTAAAGCCGTCTACCGAGGTGAATGAGCCGGCAGGAAAAAGTCTACAGTCCACCCTGGGGTCCTCAGGCTTGCAGATGGGTCGAAAAACATCGAAAATGAATGGGATCTGTACTCTAAAAGCTTGGCACTGATTGTCGCCTAACCTGTAACTTGTACAGATTTTAATCATTTTCCAAGGAAAAGTAAACGTACAGCAAACAGTATTTGCAAAGCTCAAAACAAGACTTCTCAGTAAATGTGGAATGCAAAGTTACAAGCTGTAACTCATTCTAAACAGCTGTGGATACAAAATACTTTATGAGACACTGTGCTATCAAATTTTCATGACACTTCCCCCCCCCCTCTTTTTATCATTTAGTAGAAGAACTCTAGAATGTTAAAAAGATGTTAACTTTCCCGGAAGAGGACGCACAATCTAGCAGAAAGAAATACATAGTGTATCATATTTTGCAGTGTTTGCCAAGAGGAAATTTTGTTTTGGAGAAGAATACAAAACTGAAAACGTTCAGCATTAGCAGCTCTTGAATTTCTTTTCCCCCATTCCTGTTAATGTAAGAAAAATGAATTTTCAAATGATTGTTTTCCACGAAAATCCTGGAGGCTGATGCTGTTCTTTTCGTGTTTTATGATGTTTTAGTCGAATAGTTTTGAAAATAAAAGTTCATTGTCCGATTTGGACTGGCTAGGAGAAATCAATTTAACAAGAATAATGGACGTTTGATGGTAAATGCAAAAAGTAGAATATAAGTATAAGTTAAGATTTTTAACACTGCTGGTAAAAATACGTCATAAACTTTAATCTTCAATAAGCCGTTATGGTTAGAAGTCATTTTTTTCTTCAATTTACCTTTGTTTATTCAATATCCAATGTCCATGTTCCCCAGCTATGTTCCCTCACAAATTCCGTGTAAGGCATTGAACTTCGAAAACCCCTGACAATTCGAAACCCTTTTCTTTGAAAACTAAGGTATGTCGACCCAATTTTCTGAAAAAGGTTTACAAAGTTCGGTATCTGATATTAACAGTTTGAAATCTCGCACAGATGTGAAGGAATTAGCAGTTGTTTGAACTAAATAGGCCTACACAACTTCCACACATGAATTCAGAATAATTGCTTCTGAAGCCAGAAAAATTATGCTAGAGCTTTTGTCTTATCTTTTAGTTTCTTGTACCTTTCAGTATATCTTGAAGCGCATAAACATCTTGCCATTAAACATTGAAAAGTGTGTTGAGATTTTTGATAAAGCTGAGTATTTGTTTTTGAAGATTTGTCAGTGACTTCTTGTCAAGACTTCAAAAATAAAGGAAACGACACCTCAGTACTGACATTTTTGTGTGAGTTGATATCTGTGGGTGGTTTCTCTTTTACCATTAGCATAAAGAATTATTTGATTTCCTAATGCATAGCCAGCACTATTGAAGCCTTTAAACTGGATTCTTACTAAATGATCAAGTTTTTGATGAGTTTTGATATTTTTTCCAGAAATTGTGATTTTGAATCCCGACATTGAAAAGTGGATTTTTTTTGCCAAAAATCTTCAAAATTGTCCAATTCAAGCGCAGAGAATGGGAAAGATTGTTTTTTGGCCAACTGTCAACAGAAGAAGTTGTAATTTTCATATCAAATGATGATTTTTCCCAAAAATGAATCTCTCAAATCATCAAAATTAAGTTTTTATTCTCCGAAAATAACAAGTTCGCGGCGTTCCTGTGGTTAGTGCTTCCTGACCCGGAAGCGAGAAGTCGCAAGTTCGAATCCCGACCTTGAAAATATGA